GAATGTTTTTTTATTCTGATGGGTGTGGGTATTCAAGGTGCTTCCCACAAGAGTTCATGTGTAACTACCCACGGGTTCTTCATTTAGCTATTAAAAACGTAAGGGCTGGGAGATGGCTCAATTAAGTGCCTCCCTCACGAGCCTTAGGACTTGAGTTTCAATCTTCAGCCCCATATAAAAGCCAGGTGCAGAGGTGTACATCTGTAGCCCCAACACTGTGCGTGCGTGCATGTGTGTGTGCGTGCGTGCATGCGTGTGTGTGTGTGTGTGTGTGTGTGTGTGCGTGTAAAACAGGCAGCTCTCCTGAGCTCTAGTTTGCTGGCCAGCCTAGCCATTCTGAGCTCCTGGTTCACCGAGAAGCCCAGTCTCAAAAAACGGGGGAAATCAACACAGCGTTGACATCTGGCCTCTACATGCAGACGTACTCACATGATCATATTATACACTTATCACACACACACACAAACCATGGAGTCTGATTTGTCTTCCTGACCTCGGGACCTGCCTACCCTGGTGTGGGGTAGATATACCCAGTGCCACTCCATTGAAGAAAACTATTTTCCCTCTCCTAGCCGATGTCATGTATTTTCCAGACACAGCAGGGCCAGTGCACATATGAACTCAGAGAGACTTGTGACAGCATGTACAGGACCTTTGCAAGTTCAAGCCAGACAAAACCCCAGCACAGGAGAAAGGAAAGTAGGCACAAAGTCTCCGTGGCCTAACCACGGAGGTACATACCTTAAATCCCAGCACTCGAGGCAGAGGTAAGGGGTCTCTAAATTCAAGGCTAGCCTGTTCTACATAGTGATTCCTGGCCAGCCAGGGCTACGAGACCCAGTCTTAAGAAAAGAAAAGAGAAGAGAGGGAAGGGAAGAGAAGAGAAGAAAGAAGGAAGGAAGGAAGGAAGGAAGGAAGGAAGGAAAACTCATAGTAGTTTCACCTTTTGTTGAGTCTAATGAGCTCAATAGCCCATATAGAAAATTCTCATCAAGGAAAATGAGGCTAAGTGTAAGAGTCTGGAGTTGCGTGCAATTGTATGCTGGCTAGGTGCTGGTGCTACCCAGCACCCGGGTTTATTTTCATCTCAGTTCTGTCTTCCAGGACCATTGAAACCAAGTATGTATATCCTTGTTCAAGACAGGCAGAGGAGGCAGAAGCCTGTCCCCAGGCATGGAATTCTAAGACCACCTATCAGTCTGCCTGAGCAGCATTATCACATGTAATTTTACAAAACAATAGTTGTCAGTGGTGCACCCAAGGCTAAGTGGTCTAAACAGGGCCCACCTCTTTCGGATCCCGTGAGATCTCTGGGCAAAACTGAAATTCTGTTTCTCAGGAGGAAGGAGCCAATGGATATTAAGTCAGAAACTAGTTTTCCATCTCACCCACCAGACCATGAGGTCATCCTGAATGATCACACTGAGCATACAAGATGAGTTCCTCTTTGTGTTGACTCAAATGTCAAAGAGAAAACTTGGTGAAGCGTGAGAAATCAACATCCAGGCTCCAAGAGTCAGCCGGTGTTCAGGAAGCTGTTCCCTGGAGAAGAGCGTGTGGGGCGGGACTGAGATAGGGCCCATTCGGCTCCAAGAAGCTGGACACCCAGCTGCAGTGCCATAAGCAATACAGATGTGGGACTCCCTATCCGGTCCGCAGTCAGAAGAGGGGAGGTGTCGTGTTTATGACCACGGCAAAGCCATACTTAGAGCAACCCGGGCTGCTACTGTTTATCTTTGTCCTTGTCCTTTGGCACGCCGTCGCCTGACCATGGTACCTACCAGTGTTTGTCACACAGTTGGACGAGACTGCTCAGGCCACCTTAGTATCATGGTGCATACCTAGAACCCGAGGCTTGCCCGCACATCTGTTCCCCATTCCTCAGATGCGCTCTGAGGAATGCCAGACACCCCCTTAACGCACCTCCCTACACTTGTTTCCTCTTATTCTTCATACCACATCAGAGATTTTCCGTTCATCCTGGGGTCATCTTTTCTAAGACTGCAGTTTTTTCCAGGTTAGTCTTCCATCTAGATCAAAAACAAAAAACAAACCAAAAAACCCCCAAATCCCTTTCCATTCATCTTTGTGTCCCTTGCCACTACCTCACAGTTTGTCTGAATGAAAGCTTACTGACTTAAATTGTCGAGTTACCTCTGTTCCTTCCCACTGTGTGTATTTTCATGTCTGTGGGTTTCCTCAGAAGGACATGCTATCTTAACACAGACACTAGTTTTTCTTTTCTCTATCGAACTGACTTTTTTTTTTTTTAAAAAAAAATATTTTCCTGTTGTTGTATTCTGTTAGTCTTTGGGCATTAATCTCACCACTCAAACATAGTCAGGTCCTCTGCTATAATACATGTGTGTAGGCGTTATCAGCTCCTCCACATACGTGGGAGAACGGTGTCATGGAGAATTGCAGTTTAGATTTACACTGACCTAGGCTTTAATCATCATTCACATCATTAACTCTGTGATTGTAGGCAAGTTTCTTAGCTACTCTAAGCCCCTTTCTTCCACAAAAAGGACAGAAAGAAAAAAAATGGAGAGGAAATATGTAGTGAGACCCTGTCAAAAAAAAATAGATAATGAAACAATAGGTATCTTGTTTACCATTAGAAAATGATAATTGATTGATAAATGTTTCTGCCCCTGCTCAATTAATCCCAGGTGGATTGGTAGGGATCTTGACAAGCCAGTAGTGATTAGCTGAGCCGCCTGTCTCTTTAAAGAGTCAGGGCCAAGCCTTTGGATAGTCTTGCTGACCTGCTTTGAAATTCTACCTCGGGTGGAGCCATGGTTGTTTCTCCCTGCCTGCCTCCCCTGACTTTCCTGCCCACAGCTGGCAAGGACTCCATCCCGGGAGCCCCATGTGTGATGCCCAGACAGCTGCTGCTTGCTAAAATAGGCAGGTTGATGGGAAGTGGCAAATGACAAGACCAGTGTATGGAAATCCCCACCCTCCACCGCTCACAGTCACACCTGTAATCCTAGCATGTGGGAGGCCAGGCAGGAGGATTACCAAGAACTGTAGACCAGCCTGGGCCACCTAGTGAGTTCCGGGTCAGTCTATGCTGAAGTGACATCAGGCTCAAAAAATATAACCAAAAAAAAAAAAAAAAAAATCACAGGCCCAAGCACCATTGTGAGAGCGGCTTGTGGTCTTTGTTCTCCAGATTTGCTCCAGCGCTTTTTCTACCTCTCTCCAGAGAGAGAGAGAGAGAGAGAGAGAGAGAGAGAGAGAGAGAGGTGTGATACCATTTGCAGATCAATTGGTTCCAATTAAAAATTTAAAATGTCTCCCTTATCATGCAGAGAGCTTAAGAGCTTTCACACTTCGGTAACTGTGCTTGCACCACGCCATTTCAGTCTCGCCAGGACAAATGCGACTCCCCCTCTACTCACACCTCGCCCCTCTCTCAGCTCTGCCCTCCCCATACTGCCCTTCTTCCTGGGCCACACTGTTCTTTAAGCTTAATTTGGTCATTTGTTGCAGGCATCGAGTTGCCATTGTTGTTTGTAGGCTCCCTCTTGAAAAGTGGCGCTCAGGTCGTTAATATGCACTTAGTATTTGTCCAGGTGGGAACTCCAACAACGTTAGTGCACACCTAGTAAGTATTTGTCAGGTGGGAACTCCAACAATGTTAGTGCACACCTAGTAAGTATTTGTCAGGTGGGAACTCCAACAATGTTAGTGCACACCTAGTAAGTATTTGTCAGGTGGGAACTCCAACAACGTTAGAGCGCACCTAGTAAGTATTTGTCAGGTGGGAACTCCAACAACGTTAGAGCGCACCTAGTAAGTATGTGTCAGGTGGGAACTCCAATAGTGCATTCAACATTTTCTAGTTTTTCCTCAGCCTTAGACTGTTAGTTCAGTGACTCCCCGTGGACTTAGTATTTGGATGGTTCTAGGCTACTCAGCACACACTTAAAATGTGGGAACGATAGGGCAAAGGCGTTACCAAACCCAGCAGCCAGGATGGAGACCCAGCAAGTCCTCTAGAAGCAAGAAAGTCAAGTTTCTTGGCTTAATGTTTGCTTAGTTCACATTTATTTCTGTGTGGTGCAGTGTATCCCCTGAGTTTGTTTAGAAGTTTCTTGAAAGTCATCAGATGTCTTCGGAGTGTGAAGTTGGGAGGCAATGGATCTTGTTCAACATGTTTGCCATTTCTACTTACCGTAAAGCCCACTTAAAACAAAGCATTAACTATGACAGTCTTGGGTTCAAATTCCGACTTTGTTGCCTACTCTGTGTTGGTACATGTTACTTTTCTGGGGCCCCCATTTTCCTAAGCGCTGGGAGAATGGTGATGACTGAGTAATATGTTTAATATATATATTTATATAAATTATATACATTTATTATTATATATTATATATATATGGAGGTCGCGCACCAAATGAGTATTTCCTGGGTAGGCATTTTGATTGGAGGTTATTGATGTAGATGGGGTGGTGATTTGGGTAATGTGCTACCATTCATTAACTCTTACTAGGTGCAGATTTTGCAGCGGAGTGGCAGCTTAGAGTTGAAGGGGCTGCTTTACCCAGCTGCTTTTGTCGAATGAATGTCAAATCAGTGCACGGTGATGTTTGCAGAGAGTCTTAGACCTTTCATGGGGCTTCCCGGTTCTCACTGCCAGTACTGTTTCCGTTAATAGTCCCAGGCGTTCCCACTCTGAACTGCCCTCCTACCACACACAAATCCCCAAATCCTCCTGACAGGGCATCTGCACTGTGTCCCGCCTGCTCTGTGGACCTAAATCCTCTGCTCGCTTTTCCTTTGACTGTTCTGCCTGCCTCTGTTGACCCCCAGGGTCTTATCTTGTCCTCTGGAGGTATGCTAAGTGTTGTACCAGCCTGCCTGTTGGCCTGGCCTGTTTTCTCTCACTGCCAGTACCTCTTGGATTCCAATTCCAAACATGGTATCCCTCTGGGGTCACCCTTTCTTCCGGTGCCAAGAGAACATGCATTCCAAATGGAACACAAGTGTGTCTCTCCTGCTGGCTCTCACTCCTCATTCTGCTTGGGAACAACAGAAAGCAGGATGTGGCTTCGTCGTCCCGTGCTACTGAAGTGTCTGGAGTTGTGGTCCTACTTTCTCTGAGGACAATGTATGGATTTTGCTGAAAACTAAAGGTGAAGAGTATTCTAAGAAAGCTGGAGCCAGCGAAGTTTGCCAGAATGCTGCAGGGAGGACGAGAGTGGAGCTGAGAAAGAGAGAGAAGAAAAAACATCCCAAACAACAAACCTAGGTTTTCAGTCTTCCATGAAGCGTACTATGTTCCGGCATTCTTTCTCAGAGCCACCAGAAGCATTCCTGCCGGCAAAGGTAGAGCTGGTGGTGAGAAGCCACCGGGGAGTACAGATTGCTTGATTTTTTTTCTTCCACTTTCCTTTGTGGAGAGGCCTGGAGAGTCTTTGAGGGCCCCAAAGATGAGTGCCAACAGCAGCGCGCTGGGTCAGCTCCTCTGGCGGGGGCCAGTGTGCAGTAGCTGGAAGCAGGATATGGAAGGTGCCGTCTACCACCTTGCCTGCTGCTTCTTGCTCATGGGTTTCATGGCAGGCAGTGGGGTGTACGGCTGCTTCTATCTTTTCGGCATCCTGGGCCCAGGCTACCTGTGCTGTGTGCTGTGGGGCTGGTTTGATGCCTGCGGGCTGGACATCGTCCTTTGGAACTTCCTGCTGACTGCGGCTTGCCTGCTTCAGCTGGCACATCTGGTGTATCGCCTCCGGGTGAATACCCTCCCCGAGGAGTTCAACCTCCTCTACAAGACGCTGTGCCTGCCCCTGCAGGTGCCCCTGCAGGTCTACAAGGAAATTGTCCACTGCTGCCACGAGCAGGTCTTGACACTGGCCACGGAGCAGACCTATGCCGTGGAGGGTGAGACACCTATCAACCGCCTGTCCCTGCTCCTCTCTGGCCGGTAAGCTACTCTGTGTTGTCAGTGCCTGGAATTCCCCCAGCCCACACTTCCCATGTCCTAGTATCCCTTTCCATTTCGTGTCCCCTTTCATCGAGGGAAGGATGTGGCAAGTCAAACAAACCCAAATAGATTTTTCTAGGAGTGACTTTGCTTCCTCTTTCTTGACACTTTCCAAGAGGAAACTAGACCACGGGGCATCTTCTAGGCTATCAACAATAACTACTGCAAAGTCTGGTGAGGCCAGACCTGAAACACCCCCTATCTCTCTCACACACATATGTGCACACACATACACACAGTCACTCACACACACACCCTAATGTGTAATGCTATATGGCAGCAACCTTGCTGTGACCTTTAGGAAACTGACCATTTCAGTAAGATTGATTTCTTCCTTCCATATATGCATTTAACATTTGCTAGGCACCAACTGTGTGCAGGAAATAAACCCAGAAACAGGAGGTTTGCTGTGCCCCCTGTTTCCTGCCAGGGCCTCAAGGAAGCACCCTGTTGTATCTGAGATCTCCCATACAAGCCTTGGAGATTAGCCCATGTACTGACAGCTACAGAGAAGAAAATAGCTCTGTCTTATTTCCAGTCCGATTGTTCTACTGTAATCTGAGGGCCCCGTGGTGACTGACAGAGGAGCAGTGAGGCCCACAGATGTCCCACTGGGGATTTAGTGGAGACATGCGCCTCAGAGGAAGAGTGATAGTTGGGCGTTGGCTGACTTTCGGACCAAAGTGTGTCCACTTAGCCTGCATGGCAGCAGTGGCCATGGGTGTTTAATGAGAAAACACCATGGGCTCTGCATGTCACACTTCACAGGAATTTGTGCATCCTTTGAGATGCTACCTCATGGCACTTGGCCATAGACAATCCCTCCCGTCACCTTGCTGGAGATCGCGTGTGGCTAAAAGAGATGGTAATCAGAGCATTCTGGAAGGCAAAGGGGAGAGGGGAATGGAAGGAAGAGGGAAAGAAGGGAAAGGGGAAAGAATGGGGAAGGAAGGGGAAAGGGAAGAAGGGAAGGGAAGGGAAGGGAGGAGAGACGGAAGGAGAGGAGGACAAACTCAGATGGCCATCTACACGGTGGGGAAAGGCCTCTGAAGATGGTGGGACAGCTAAGGTCAAAGTGATAACACGCATTTATGTCTGACTTTATAGAATCCAACTTGTTATGTAGACTTTGGTTTTCTGTTTTTTTTGGACTCAGAAGACAAGTGTTGACTGAGTTATGAAGGGGGAGTTTTTATGGGGAGACACTTTTTATTGACAGGATGAGCAACGCAGCAATCTGTAAACAAGCGTGCATGGTGACTGTTGTCTGGTGTTCCCTCATAGCTGCATGCTTACAGGACTAACAACGAATGCAGGGAACTTCCTCATTCATGGGGTCCATGCTGCTTGCTCCTCATGGCTCCTCTGTTGGCCTGAGGAGACTGAGGCTAATAAAGAACAGCTTCCCATTTGTCTGGTGTTCACTTAGCAGCAACATACAGTAACCATATAGTTCTGATGTCTTGTATAAGGCAGATTCACTGTGCGCTTGTATAAGCCTGTGCCTCTGCCTTTCTGCACAGCTTTTCCTGGTATACTTAGGCACCAACAGGCCATTTTGACTTTTCTCTTGGTTTTCAAGGTTTGGAGTAAGGGGTTTGTCATTGTTCTTTTTGACTTGTTGTCTTTCCCTCTCATCCTGTCCCAGCTTTGCTGAGTGGACAAGAGGGAAAAGACCTCTAGCTGGTGGCTGGGCTCTGGATTTAAGAGGGAGTCACTGCATCTGGGTAAGTGTGACATGGAGGCCTCCCAGTCACAGAAAAGACTCCTTCTGGGCCAGGAAGTGCAGGCCTCTTATGCAGACCTCCCTGTCCTATGTGGAGGGTCACCTAGAGCCCTTTGCTCAAGCCCCAGAAGCCTTTTCATTTGGTTTTGACAAGGGCAGTCAGTCATCCCTTCCAACATTCTGAGAACAAAATGACTTCCTCAAAATCTGTCACCCGGCTAAACTATACTTACTCTTTCAATTTCATAGCCAATAACATGTACCGACTCCCACATGTACAGCCCTCTGAACAGGTGACTGACTGCCTAAGCTAGCACAAGGAAATGACCTGCCTTCCTCCTGTGTAACCAAGGAGGACACCAATGACGAAAGAGACAGTACACCCACGAAAAGCCACTTCAGTTTGACTTGCTGCCTGGTTCTAGTTACACAGACAGCGTCACATCTTGGTGAGGTGCTTTGGGAACCAGCTTCCTTACCTGAAGAAATGATGAGGAGAAGTGATACATATCACAGGCTTGCTTCTCTCTTTGTGTCTTCTTTCCTTAGAGATGCTTTTTCTTGAAGTTTTAATCCCTTCACACACACACACACACACATCTTTGTTTATCATTTCTTCCTCCTTTTCTTCCCTCCCTCCTTCCTTCTATTTTTCCCTGCCTTCCTTGTACATTAAGAGTAGTAAGACTCAGGACACAGATGTGACAAGTGTTGTCTTGAACTCGTGGAGCTTAAGCCAATGATAACTATGTGCCAGCGTGATTAATCATGGACATGGCTTCTCAGCGAGAGATACTAAGTATAATGAGAGCGTGTAAGCTGTGTATCTTCCTTTTCAGGGAGGTTAGACAGACTCTTGCAAGGAATCAGCCCAGCTGTGAGGGAAACTGGTCTAGCGGAAGACAGAATGTGTGGCGGCCCCTGGGTAGGAGAACGCATCATCTGGGCAGCCTGTATAGATTTCCTTCCTAGTCTTGTAGTGAGTGTGTTTCTGCCATTAAGGGAGGACTCTGTTATTAGCTTGGTTTGAGAGCTTTCTTCTTTGGGTGATTATATAATATGTAATTACTTAATGACTAGTAATAGTCTTCAATAATTTGTATGGTCATGCATATATCTAGGCATTCATTGAGAGGAGACTCGAGGGTGCTAATATTCCATTGACCAGAACTTAACCCCTTGAGTGAACCTAGCAACAAAGTCTATAAGAAGGCATAGTCTTGGCCATGAAGCCACATATCCAGCTGGAACTCTCGCAGCACGGAGGAGGAGAAGCAGAAAGTATTTAAGAGTGGGCTCTCATTACATTAGCAGATCTCTGCCCATCTCCATCCTTACCTGCTCATCAGTAGCCTGTTTATCCTGCAACACTCACATGGAACGTCATCCTTGAGAAGTCTGCTCCCTGCACAGAGCTAGGTTCTTCGTCTCCCCATCCTGTGAGCCTGCTCTACCCCAGCACTCAGCACACTGATTTGAACCTGTTACTTATGTGCTCGACTCTTCCACTCAGCTGCGAACCTCTCAAAGGCAAGGGCCAGATTATACCCACCTCGGTAGCCCCCAGTGTTCAGGAAGACAGGAGGTTCTGTGAATGTTGGTTTAGTTAGAAAGTCTCCAGAAGTGACAGCAGGCCAGCTCCTTCCAAGTGGGTGTGTGCGTCACTGAGGTGTGCTTGTCTCTTCGCATCTTTGCCCGATGTAACCCACTTGAAAAGAGAAGGCAAATGTGAATGCCTGGGTTTTCTGGGAAAAGGAGGAAAAGACTCTTGGCTTGATCTCTGTCTAGATGCTACATCACATCCCCAAACCAGTCTCTTTATCCAGGCATACTGCTGTTGCGCAGGTCCCTTCTCTGCAGGAGCAAAGCACCCGGATAGTTATGCTAACCATAAGGCTAGACAAGACAACAAGCCATATGAGTGGGGTTGCTAACTCTGAGCTGTAAAACATGCCTGAGGGCATAAGAAAGGCCAAAGCATTTGCTTAACTTGTTGGTAGTATGGAATAATTATATCCATAAAATTTTTTAAAAATTAATTAAAATTCTTGGCCGTTACCACAGAAACTTACTCTGTCTAGTTGATGCCCTTTAGGAAAAGCAAATGACTTCTTTTCAAACTTAAAGAGAGGCATGCAGCCTGGCCTCAGGCTAGAAGAACATAAAATCATGCCTATTGGGTATTTTGTATGACTTTAGGTTCTCCTTCCCTGTGACCCACTGGGGTACTTCCTTGTGCAAAGTCTGAATTCCATTATATGAGAGACAAGGTTTTATTACCTGAATACAGGAGTGTGTCGGTTTAACCAATGTCTGGTAGTTGTCTCTGTTGGAAGCACAAGTCATAGTGACTTCACCCCAGTTCCAAAGTCTCACAGATGGGGTTGGAATGTCGCTGGGCTAGGTGTGAATCCCAGGACTATTCACTGAATGAGGTATCTGGATTCTCATTTCCTTATGGTTGCTGAGGGCTCAGAAGGGGTGATGTTGAAAGTGTCCATCACCACCTACGCAAAACTAGTAAGACGACATCATGGTGAGAACACAGAATCTCGGTTTTGTTTCCTGGTAGCCATATGACCTGAAGGTTTCCTTACCATCTGTGTTCTTAGCTGTAAAACAGAGGGTGGGGTGGGGAGGGAACCAAACCGTCTACCTTGCATTGCTGTGATGACTAAATGGGCAGGCACACGTGGAGCATCTGTTCATCTCTCACGCGCTGTCTTCTTTCCCTTGCAAACGCGTTCTGTCTTCAGTACTGCTGCTCATGTAGCCTGCCCAACAGAGGAACAGTAGGGCAGCATCCTCCACGGCAATGGCGCCATTCTACAGCCACGCTGTGCAATGCGGCAGTCACAGACTGCACGCGGCCACAGACCAGAGCCCTGGGTTTGGTCAGTGTGATGGAGGAACTGGACTGTTAACTGTATTTAGTTTTAATAGACGTCGATCTTAATTGATTGTCCACATGTGATTAGTGGACAGTGGAGCCCCAACTCAGTGGTTTGCGTCCTGGACACATAGTGGGCTCACTGAGGAGATTCTTTTTTGTGGTTTTAAACATATTGTTTTGACTGATTCTTTGGGGATTTCGCATTAAAGACCCCAATCCCGCTCATGTCCCAGTCTCTCCGTATCTGTCCCTCACCCTTGTAGCATTGCCACCCAAAGGAAAACTAAAAAAGAAATAAAAAATAAAATTAAATTAAAAATA